GTATATATATACATATATATATATATATATATATATATATATATATACATATATATATATATATATATCTCTCTATATATATATATATATATATATATATATATATATATATATATATATATATATATATATATATATATATATATATATATATATATATATATATATATATATTAGACTGTTTCAAAAAAAATTTTTTTTAAAAAACAATGCATAGGGGCTTATATGGTGTGGTTTTATATTTGTATCATCCTGTAAAAATTTCAATTAAAAAGGATAAGTATTAGTGACCTCTCAAATCACATTTTGTTTTTTTTTATGAAGCCTGAATGATTTTTTTTTGGTGTTTGGGGTTTTTAAAATATTTTTACATGTTTTTATAAAACATTATAAAAGTTTTTTGTTTGGAGAAGACAAAGAATTTGTCAAACAAGAAGAGAAAAGATTAAAAAGAAAACTAAGCAAGAATCAAAAACAAGAAAAACCTAATAAAAAGAGAAACATAGCCAATTATGAAGATGATGATGATAATTCAACATCAACAGATGACATAAGCGATAAGTCTGATGAGGAAGTAAGGTGTCAGCAAATACCATCAGAATCAAATTGCAGGAAGTACTCCAATATCTCCTAAAACTAATGAACTTAAAAAAGGTGTCAAGTAGATAACCAACTGTTCATGGTAAGTCTAGATCGTACAAAAACAACTTATAGGGAAGCCATGCACATTGTGGCTTTAGCATTAAAGGCAGTTGGAATCAACGTTGATGAACTCACTTTGTCAACAAGCTCTCTTTACGGATCTAGAAAAGCTATACGACAATCTATCGGAAAAACTATCAAAAACACATTTTTGCCAAACACACCTCTTGTGGCTCACTTTGATGGAAAACTTTTACCTGATTTTGATGGTGTAAAAATAGATCGCCTGCCAATTGTGGTATCAGGGAAAAATGTAGAAAAACTGATAGCTATACCAAAGGTTGGCGGTACTGGCATAAACATAGGAACCACAATAGTTCAGTTACTTCAGAACTGGGAAGGCGTGTCAAATTGGTTGGATGGTTTGTGTTTTGACACAACAAGTTCTAATACTGGCATTCATACTGGTGCTATAACAATAATTAAGAAATCCTTTAATAAACATCTCTTGTTTTTAGCATGCAGGCATCATATTCTTAAAATTATTGGAACAACTTTATTTGATTTATTTTTCTCTTCATCTGGCCCTCAAATTGCTATTTTTAGTAGATTTAAAGATCAATGGCCATCAATTAATCAGTTAAAATATGCATCGATTGACAAGGTAACAACTGGTTGTTCTTTTGACTAATGATGAAAATTTGTGGCTAAAGCAAAATCGTGTAGCTATGATTGATTTTCTTCAAGACCAACTGCAAAATACTCAACCTCGACATGGTTACTTGCAATTGATTAGACTTTTTCTCATAACTCTTGGAGTTTCAGATCCTACTGCTGTACAAGTCACTCCTCCAGGAGCTTATCACAGGGCTCGCTGAATGGCCAAAGGAATTTATTGTTTGAAGATTTTTTGCTTTCGTGAGCAACTGAAGTTAACTGCACATGAGCTACAAGCATTAAAGAGACTTTGTCTCTTTAATGTAACTGTATATGTAAAGGCATGGTTTTGTGCGGCAAACAGCTGTAGTGTTCCTTACAATGATTTATGTCTTCTTCAAACTCAGGAATTATTTGAAAAAGTTGATTGCAAAGTTGGAAAAGAAGCAATGAAAAAAATTAAAAGGAATCTTTGGTATCTAAGCGAAGATCTTGTTGGAATGACATTTGTTTCTGATTTGGTTAATGTCGATGAGAAAAGGCTTATGGTTAAACCATTACATAAACCAGCAAAATAAATGATGTTAGAAAAGTAGATCCAAAACACATAAGTTCTTTCAAATCCAAGATTTTGTCAGATTTTGTGACAAAACAGTTTTAAATTTATTTTCTACATTGAAACTCAGTCAAAATTTTCTTTGCTTTGATCCAGAAGTATGGCCACAACTAGAGGATTACAATAATGCAAAAGAGATAGTGACTGCAGTACGGGTAGTTAATGATTGTGCTGAGCGAGCAGTTAAATTGGCATCTGATTTTAATACAGCACTTACTCATGTTGAAAATCAGCGCCAGTTGATGTATCAGGTGATTGAGCATTACAGGAAATTAATGAATGAGCCTTAGAAAAAGAACTATACTGGTTCAGACATTACTTTATAATAATACAATATATAAATATTTATAATAAATTAAAAACAATTATTTTTTATTAATTTGAAAAAAATGCTTTAAACAATCTGAACAATCTCAACAATGAGAGGTCACTTAACGTTGTTTGATTTTATTGATTTTGGTGTTTGTCTTTATATCATCAAATGACACAAAATAAACCCACATGCAAATCTGGTTTGAAAAAAAAATTTTTTCTTAATAAAAATAAAACGGTCTAATATATATATATAGTAAATTAAATTAAATATTATATATATATATATATATATATAGTAAATTAATTAATTCAGATATTAGAAAAATCAGTCGAATATAGATTTAAATGTTAATAAGATGAATCGTAACGAATGAAATCTATCAATCTACCCCCCGCCGTCCAAAATAATGACTAAGATGTTCGCGTTGATGAAAAGGATTAGGAAGACGATGATGAGGCAAAGGACGACGGTAGTGATGGAAACAACCAACCTATCCATCAAAATTAGGGAAGGTAGGATAGTGGCTACTTTTGGTGGCCAGTGGATTGTGGCTACCCTCTGTGGCCACTGGGTGGTCGCTACCTTCGGCTGTCCCTGGATTGTCGCTACCCTCGGTGACCACTAAATAGTCATCGCCACCGACATAAAAACTTCCACCATAATAGAATCGTCCGGAATGATGACGAATTATCTCATTCTTTTAAGAATGATGACGACGAGAATGAAGATGACGATGTCGTTGATGTGGACATTGAGTCAGAGATCGATCGAGCCGGCATTTCATCGGCACGTAACGTATGGAACATGTGGCATGTGGAGATGGAAAGGAAATTTATAAAATCGGTCTTTAAATATGTTATTTTCACAGTTAATTTTATATAGTAGTCTAGAATACACACATATATACACAGACACTCACACACACGCATATATATGTATATATATTTGTTGGTAATAGACCATAGTTTTTACAGTACTTTATAAATTCTACCGAATGTTTGGCGTTAATATGTTTATAGTTCGTTTTTTCGATTTTGCTCACCAAAGTTTTTGGAGAACGTTCAGTTTATTAAAACTCAAAATAAGAAAATAAGTTTATTTTCATTATTAAAATTATTAATATTATTATTAAAATTCAAAATAAGAAAATAAGTTTATTTTGAATTTTAATAAACTAAACATTCAGTAGAATTTATAGAATATTGTAAAAATATATGTTTATACATGCATACACCTACACCCGACTCACACTTGTAAACATACCTGCATATTTGGCTGGAGAATATTTGAAAGGAACAACCACTGGGAAATACCGGTATTTAAGTTATAGGTATCTTCGTTTGTAAGTTTTGTCACATCAATATTTTTTTTTTCAGTTTCTACATAAGTTGTGAAATTTTTGTCTACGTCATTAACTTCCGGCTTGATCTGTATGACGGGTTGGTGAGCAAATATTATTTTATCATTATATAAACTTTTATCATTTTTTTCATCACACGCCAATGAATCGTTTGAATTATTATTTATTTGTTTATTTATTTACATATTTATCTATTTTTTTTATTCATTTATAATCTTACCTTCAGAAAGTTGTTGATCAGTTCTATTGATTCCAACTTCTCAGATACTTCAGGCTTTGACTGGCTTGTTTCTTCCTTAGAAACTCTCAACCGATCAGGTTCTTCAGATTTGGTATCAATTACTTGTATTTCATTTATTTCTTGGAGAAATCTCAACAGCCAGTCATGCTCTTCATTTTCTATATCTTCTATACTTTCAAATTGTGGTTTGTTTTGAAAGAATAACCATTCATAGTCATTAGATTTTGACTCGCTTGTCTCTATTTTCAAAGTTGTCAACAAATCAGATTTTTCAGGTTCTGATTTACTTATTTCTTCTTCCTTCGGCAAACTAACTTTTTCTGGAAAAAGAAAAAAATCATTATCCAACTTTATTATTTTCTCTTGGACAGCCATACCAGATCTTTCATTTTCTTCAAGTCCGTCATTATTTTTCTCATTCTTATCAACTGGGAGCATAGATAATTTTTCCAAAAATGACAAGCTACTCTCTTTATTTGTACTCTCAAGCTGCGGTTTGTCAGTAGAATGATAATTATCCATTTCTGAAGATGTTGTCTCTATCGTTGAATAGGTCGACAAATCAGAGCCACCAGGTTTGAACTCGTTTGTCTCTATTCTCAAAGTTGTCAACGAATCAGATTTTTCAGGTTCAGATTTGCTTATCACTTCTTCCTCTGTATAATCATCATCATCATCATCATGATGCCTAAATATTTCGTCATCGGCCAAATTTGTTATCACTTCGCAGACAATCACGTCACGTTCACCACGTTCGTTACAAATAAGCCCATCATTATTCTTATCAGAGTCTCCTTCACTCTCAAATGAATCTTCTCTTTCCAAAACTGGCGGAGGTGGAAGTGTGTGATGAATAAGACCCATTATTAACCTACTGATAATTTTCACTCAATTAACTTTGATTGTTATTAATATTGATGAAAAATGATATCATTTGCATACCTTTGTGGTGGAGGAAGATCTTTTTCATCTTGTTTTAGCGTTTCTTCTAGTTCAGTCCTTAAGATGTGGGCAGAACTTAGAATTAACTGGAAGAAACATATGAGTAACAGAAGTTTCATTTTCCTGTAGATATTTTATTCTTTTTTCACTCTTATAGTTTTTCTTTCTTTTTATCTTTCACACACTATAATATTCGTTTCCGGTTTAAATTAAAATATTTCCTTAGTTTAATTTCTGATAGAGCAAAAAGAGACACTGCTGTGTTTATATATACCATGCACCAACCAAGACAAGGTACACATTCCCATTGTAACATATATATTAATTATATATATATTAATTATATATATGCACACACACAGACACACACACAGACACACACACACAGACACACACACAACCATCACACAGACACATTAATTAATCGCACATCTGTATTTAATTACATGTCCCTTGCCGTCGACAACCTTTTTCCAGATTTTTAAATTTCTTTTTAAGGTTTTAGAAAGCTGAAATATTTTATTTCTATTAATTTTGATTGTTTTCACTCAAATTAATATATGAGAGAGAGAGGCAAGCAGAGAGAAAGAGAATAAAAGAGAGAGAGAGAGAGAGAGAGAGAGAGAGAGAGAGAGAGAGATGGCCTGAACCCTGTACCCTATCTATCAATCAACCCTAATTCATATTTGAACAGACTTAATAATTACAGTAGAAAATTTTTAAAAGTTTGAAGTTCAGAATAATATTTAGAAATTGCAAGATAGCTTGGAGCTTTCTTTAGAAATGGTTTTTTTCCACTGTCAGATAATTTTTGTGCTAACGTGATTTAGGAAAGTTAGGTATACATCTTAATCGGTAGGTACGTTGAAGTTCTCGTAGTAATATTTTGCTTTTTAAATATTCATAAACTTATTTATTCATATTCTATATTCTATTAAAACAGTTCAGTTATTTTATAAAATTGTTAATCAATTAATGCATTTTAATTTTTAAAAGTGATTAGCAATTGAGTTGTTCGTTCATTAATTTTGAATTGCATAAAGTAGCAAATAATAACGTCAACTATATTTTAGAAACACTTTCAAAATATAAACAATATTAAAAATTCTAAATATCAGTATAATTATTACGGTCATAATTATTATAGTTATAATAATTATTATAATTATGGTGTCAATCCCGTCATAATTATAACAATGACGACAGAGAGATGGGCTGTTAGCGAACTAAGCAGTACATGTCCATGTTACACATCAAATCACGTTTTCCCACCTTGACCAGCAGACGATCAGTCTATAAAAAAAAATATTTTTGAATAATAATTAAAGTTATTATTATTATTATTTTTGTTAATTGTGTCGTCTGCTGCTACTACCACTACTACTGCTGCTGCGGCTGCCACTTCTACTACAGCTATTTTTTGACAAAATGAACAAAACGTGGCGTCATTTTAATAAGAAAGAAAGTAACTACAAGTTATAGTTTGGCAACAAAATAAAAAAAAAATTTAAATTTTTTAAATAAAAAATAAATATTGAAACGGTCTGGAATTTGGTACAAATATTTGACGCTAAGTTCTTTTCAAAAAAATGTTCAACATTTTAAGTTATGGAAAAAATTGAGATCGAAAGAGAAAGAGAGAGAAAGAGAGAAAAGAGATAGGATCTAAAAATAGATAAAAAATGAAAGAGAGAAGCACACAGAGTTTAACCCGACCACCAGGTCAGATCAAATTTCTCAGTTGTTTTTTTTGTGATCCAATGTATCATATAACTCTAACAACTGTCCATCATTTTTAAAAAGCAATTAATCATTAAAATGATAAATTTTATTTTTGTGATTATGTTAATTATTTCCGCGGGCAATAATGACAAAGAGTAGTACGCAACTTTAAAAATTCAGTAAAAAATTTTTCACAAGCCGTTCCTTTATGAAATATGACCCTTAGAAGTTTTGCAGCAATAATTTTTAAAGATATATAAGCATTCGATCACTGCAAACTACAAAGTCTGTAATTTTTTTAAATTTCATCGCATTTTTTACAAAAAATTTTGAACATTCGCTTGCGCGAACCTTTTAAACACCATCTTAACGTTTTTTTAAATGCATTTTAGATGCTTTTAAGAAGTTTGCTTTAAATATTTATAAGAATATGTTTTTAAATTCATCGAATACGTTTTTAAAAAAGCGTTTAAATGTTACATAACTCTTGCTCTGGCATCTGTTTACATTTAAAGTTGCCTATATGTACTTTTACATGTTTGTTTATGTGATTGCTGTTTATATGTCCGAGTGAGTCCAGCAAAAATCGATTAAACAAATATTTGAGAGCATTCAAAATTCTGTAACGTGCCAAACACCTTGTATTGTATATGTACACACACCACACACACACAACACACACACACACACACACACACACTCTCTCTCTCTCTCTCTCTCTCTCTCTCTCTCTCTCTCTCTCTCTCTCTCTCTCTCTCTCTCTCTCTCTCTCTGTGTATATATATATATAGAATATAGAGTATATATATAGAGTATATATATAGAATATATATATATACTCAAACATAATGAGCGTTCAGCGAGAGTATTAGAGGAAAAGTTTACATCAAAGAGTGTTTCGGTCCTTTAACTTCATGACACTTTCGAGAAACAGGGCCACATCCAGAGATCAGTTGGATGTCTCTTGCTAAACAAACAATTTGCCTCGCTTTGAAATCATCTCCTCTTATAATGAAAAATTGTGTCGGCGTGCCAGACAGTTCACATATAAACATATCACGATGTGAGTTATATCGATGAGCCAAGTAAAACGCTAAGCCGAATCTGGGAGTGTTGAGTGATCAGAAGCCTTACGGGCAAACGAGTTCGTCTGTTAACTATTTAAACTCGCATTTCTTTTTCTTACTACATAACCATGTCCAGTAAGACGTCGAACAGGCTGTATGCCCTATGTTCTTCACACAACTCGATCGTCTTTTATATATATATATATATGTATATATATATATATATATATATATATATATATATATGCATATATATACACACATTCACACAAACACACTGACACACACACACACACATTCTAATTTCCACCTCATTCAATTAAACCTGTCAGCGAGCTTTCAGAACGTAATTTTTTAAATATAGAAATAAATTTTAATAAGACAAATTTTTCGCTCAACAAAGAAATCTCTTCATAAATCTGTCACGCAAGACTTTAAATTTTGCCCTATAATGACAATAATAAAATTATTAATAATTATATTAATAATATTATTACTTTTATCATCATTGTTATCTAAACGATGTTAATAATAATGTTAATAACGAGTTTTGCTCGATTACTCTTTGTTACAAAGACGCAAAAAACAGTCACCAGCACACACACACACAACACACACGCACGCACGCACATTTATTAAGAAATACGCCTACACACACACACACACAAATAAACATACATACAAATACAATGCACACAAACATATTTTTTACTCACTTTACTTTTTTTCAACTTATCACTGATTAACTTTTTCAACTTTTCAATGTGGAATCCATCGCTTCTTCCTATTGGTCCAACTTTATCATCAAGCAACCAATCAGGATATTTGGAATCTACGTCAGGAGTTATTAATTTTGAATATCTTTTATTAGGATCATAGTTGTTGTCGTCATCTTCACCGCTTTCTTGATAGTTTGTTTGTTTGGAGGTTAAGGATTGCCGGGGCTTTGATTGAAATAAATCAAAGAGGTTGTATCTTGGGAGGTAGTCTGAATTATCATATTCGTCCGTTTCGTAATTTCTATTTACGTGCACGATCTTTGGTAACCCCTTGTCATTTCCGGTTATTACGTCATCCGGTTTATGGAAGTTTCCGGTTGATCTAAAATGGTCACCGAATTTTGAAACGCAGAGCGCTGATTGGATGAAGTAGATAATCAATATGGCCGGAATCTTTAACGATTTAGAGTTTTTGAATGACGACATTGAGTTTGATCAATAAATTGTAAAATATTATCAATAATTATTTGGATGTGAAAAAAAATTGAAAAGAAATAATTAAAAAAAAATTGAAATTTTTTCAGAGGCTTGAAACAGAGCAATAAGACTAATACGATTGAGAATGAATAGCGAAATATAACTTTGTTAAATTTTTCCAAATTTGAGATGGACAATTATGAACGCCAACAATTTTAATATCATATATGAAAAATATGACAATTAGGTGACGATGACGACGACGATGATGATGGCGATGGAATGATTTTTTGTTGGTTTGTCGCGAAACTCTTCATCTTCCTTTTATATTCCTGAGAGAACTTTCTCTCACTCTTTTCAATATCTCTTATCTCCATGTATATATATATATATTGTTTGTATAATATATATATATATATATATATAATATATGGTTTCTTTCCAACATTATGTATATATAGAGAGGGAGAGAGAGAGAAAAAAATGTATGTGTATATATTTGTAAATGTATGTGCGTAAAATGTAAGAATATTGCATGTAATTAAATTGTAATTTTATTTTATTTTATTTTATAGTTTTTCATGTATGTGTGATAGTGAATGTATGAGTTTGTGTATTTGTGTGTGTGTGTATATGTGTGTGTGTGTATGTGTACGCTTATCTGTTAGTGGTGTGTGTATATGAAAACGTTTGCCTGTGAACATGTATATTTGTGTGTATGAAAACTTATTTGTATGTATGGAGTGTGTGTGTGTGTGTGTGTGTGTGTGTGTGTGTGTGTGTGTGTGTGTGTGTGTGTGTGTGTGTATTCGTGATTGAAGATGAGGAAAATGTTAAGAAACATACATAGATCACAACAAAACTTCAAAATGACGTTTTAATGCACGACTGCATAATAAATTTCCAACCGACCAAAACCAACCAACCAAAATCAACCAACCAACCAAACAAACAAACAAACAAAAATAATAATAATAATAAATAATAAACAAAACCAACCACAAGCAGGTTGTGTAAATGTATCCGCTACGTTGTTTTTCTTTTAAAAAAACTTATGCCTTTTTAAGTCAGTTACATTTAAATTTTTCATCAAAAGAACGTGGCTCCGTAGTTTATCTTACTCGCAGCAGGTTGGCGTAGATGAAATTATTCCTACTTCCGGCGATTTTTCACCTTTAAATGCAAATGGACACACACACAATTTTAGCAGGTACGATGGAAAAATTTTCATAAGAAATGCGGCAGACTTATTGCATTGAAAACGTTTTAAATTGATTGCTTTTTTCCAATTTAAATTACACGTTTGTGTAGGTGGGTATTTGTGGAGGTATAAAATTACATTTGTTTGTATTTGTTTGTTTGTTGTTGTTGTTGCTCGAAACATTAATGCATTTTATTCCTTTAAAATAATTCATCCCTGCAACTTCTTTAATACAAAGTATTAGAAAATATTTTTATTAAATAAATCCAAAACTTGAATAGCAAGCCTAAAATGTCGAATAATTGATAAAAAGAAATTTTCCTCCTTTGAAAGCACTGGCGCAGATCAGACACTGGTTGTAGTGTTTGCCGTGCGTGTGTTGTTGACGCGCGTGTGATGTTGATGTTGGTTTCTACGTGATATGTTATGTAAAATATAGGAATGTATGTGCCTTTCATCTATTCCATTTGCTAATTGGAGTGAATTTGCGCATTTTCTAAAAATATACAAAACTTAATGTTATAAAATGAACGAATAGAGGTAAAATAAATAATTTAACGCATGTGTTTAATTTTTCAATTCGTGATTTTTTAACTTATCCAAATATCGATACGTACACTTTGTCTCGTTTTTGTCATTAAGTTTTCGTACAAAACAAATGACCAAGCAATCAGTCTGTCAATCAGTCAGTCAATTGGTCAATCAGTCGGCCAATATATTTGTATAGCGCCATATTCATAATCTTGAACGTTTATCAAGAGCAATTTAGTGTTTAGGTATCTGTCTAAGACTACTATTCAGTCTTACATTTCAGAATGCGTAACATATTGAATGCATCATTAAATGTGAGGCCAAATTACTTACAGGACTTGATTAAATGGACCGTCAACTGTGTGATTTATGCAGATGTGTGCTTGTTTCATTATATAAGGTTTGTTCTGCTAAAAGTTTCATTTGAATGATTGCCCCTGCTCTTTAAATAATCAAATCACCTCTTCAAATTCACCACTTTTGTTAATTTTTATTCAGAAAAAATACGAAAAAATGAAGAATTAAAAAATATTACATCACCTGTTTAAGCATATCTTAAAATTTTAATCTATCTATTTATCTATCCATTCCTTTATTTAGTTTTGTATGCGTATGATATACGGTCAAATTTATTTGATAGGAATTGAATATAACCCTAATACCGGTTAATTGACTAGCAGGCAGTTAAATAACTACTGTTAACATGACGTCATTTGCCCATCCTATTTTATAAGTTTTATTTGATGTTTTGTAATCAGTCAGGTCACAATTATCATCATCTATATTGCGATGAAATCTAATTGTTATCCACTTGGAGCTTTAACACGTACATACATGTGTATAATAGTAAGTAATGTATACAACATATGTGGTATTATTGATGTTAAACATGTGTATTATAACCATATATATAGAATATTCTTAGGTATAAGGCCATAACGTATACAATTTTCATTAAATTCGATCGTAGTATACTATATAACAATAAAATTTAATAAAAATTGTATAGAATATTCTATAAATATATAAAATTCGTAAAATAATCATTATACATTAAAGTTGAAGACTGTTGCATACATTTCAATTTCAATCACCAGTGGTACAAAACATTTTTAGCGGTATCACTTATGTTTCTATGTCCGCAATCATCAGCGATATTAGGTCGTCAGAGGATAGGGCTTGCTGTTTTTCTAGATTTAATCGTATTGTTAAATTATATACATACTTTTTAAAAAATTGATCATGGATTTGCAAACCGCAGTTGAATTTGTGGGAGCCGAAATTTTTATTGAAGATTTAATAAAATCAAAGCGTAAAGAATTATGGCTAATATCAACACCAGCCAAGGCTGGCAGGCTTTTTAAATTCTTTTATTTTTAAATTAAATTTGATAACATAGTTATAGTTATTATAATTTTAATATATAATAATAATGATTATGATGAATTTGTATTTGAATTAGTTTTTTTGAATTTAAATTAAATTTTATAAATTTAATTTAAAATTTAAAAAGATTTTTTTAAATAATTTTTTTATTTCAGTTTGATTTCAAGAATGTTCCTTCAACCGTCCCGTTAAATGGAATTGTTAGTGTTACACATCCAGACACAGCAGAGGTTAGTTAAGTGATTGTTAGATGATTGGCTTGTTCATGGTTAGAAACAATTAATTAATATTATTAATAAATTAATTATACATTTCTTAGTTGATGTTTCATTATTATTATTTTAATTTGTTTGTAAACATCTTTTTTCAGAGTGAAAAAAAACTGTACAAAATATCAACTGAAGAGGTAGATCATGAGGTACATATAAATATTACTAATATATATAGAATTAATTATAATTAATAATAGTAAATATTAAGAGCTTTATAGAGAATATATATATATAAAGCTCTTAATATTTACTGGTTTAGAATACATAAATATTTTATTTCCAATTTGTCTTATATATTATTGTATATCATTATGTATTATTAAGTTAAATAATAAGTCTTGCTTATTAAATAATAAGCAATGCTTATTTTTTCTTGTAATGTAATATTTCTATATGATAAGTTTTTAATTTTCTTTCAGGTCACTAACTCAGCCATTCTCCTACCAAGCCTGTCATCAAAGAAACTCCAACCGGGTAAAAATACTTCTTCTCATTGTTCTTCATCATGATAAAATTTATTTTATATCAGCAGATTTATTGTTATCCTTAATAACTAATAACTCTTATTTTTTTATTAAAAGCAAATATTTGTCATAACCTTAGAGAATATTATTATTTTAATATAATTATGACATTATTTTATTTAACTCCACACAATCAGTAAAAAAAGTGAGTAAAAAGATGACAATTGCCAGCATAGAGGTTGCTGAGTCTGTAAAAATTAGCAAAGGCCTCGAAACAACTGAAACTCTCAAACTCAAAACTCCCAAAAGAAGGAGGAGCCTATTTTTTGACTCTAGTAAAATTTTATTTTTTTCATTTTTTAGCTTCTATTTTTTTACTGAATGCAATTTTGTAAAGAATCATTTGTTGCAATTATTGAATAGTATGAGATGAAAGACTGCTTTGGCAGATTTTTTCCAATTGTTTGTAACTAAAATTTTTGAAAAATTGAACTCTGAACCTATTTAATTATCATTTTATTCAACTAATTAATCAATTTATTTCAAAATTCACTTTTAATCAGAGCCTGCTCTGGTGAAGTGCAGCTACAAAGTTATGAAGAAACGGAAAAAGGAATTTGAAGATTCTTAGTAAAATTTCTTTCACTCTAGGGAACTGTTTCAAATTTGTAAAAAATTTTTGATCTGCATTCAATCTATTTCTTCAAAATATGAATGACAATATTATATAAACCAAAACACGAACAAACTAGATATAGTATTAAACTATAAAATAATGAATAATTGCCAATTTAATAGTTATAAAATATGTTGAACATATCTATATCATTTGTCAATGGCGTATATCTTAAACACTATTGTCATGTTTTTACACTGTTTTGTATTATAATAAAAATGTGCTAAATTTGTTGCTAATTTGTGGCTAAAATGATGAGATCAATGGTGTTTGTTGTATTGTAACCTGTTTCAATGTACTTGAACAGACTCAATAGGTTGGCATAAACTTGAATGAATAATTGTAAATATATAAATAAGCATGTATGAAGAAAACTTACTGCTGAAATTTTCTTCAAATTTATTTTGCTACATAATTCATTTTCAGTCTTAATGCATGTAAATGAATTTGAAAATCTGCAAGAAATTGTTTAATTTGAAAGAGTATAAATGTAGAAAGTAGAGGCATATCGTCACATCACATGATATAAAACTATTAATTTATTACAGCCTCAAGATATAAAAATTTGCACAGGCAATCAATGAATGCAGTTCAAAGGACATGGTAAAATTGTATCTATTGTTCATTAATTCCTTTGTCTTCCTATCTTTTAGAGGGTAAGTGTATAATCATTGCCAGGTTCCCAAGGACCAGGTTTTGTAGAATACTCCAACGTGTATGACTTTCTTTCTACCAGAATTGGTTTCAGTCTTAAAATTTCTTCAATGGCACACCTGCTTACGACGCAAAAGACATGCAGAGATGATAAGAGAGTACAGTTTGTAGCAAGATTGACCAATTCGACATCAAGGGCATCATCATGCTGAGGTGGACAACATATTGAAATCTTTGTTAACGTGTTCTTGTAATGTTTGATGGCTAGGCGGATTTCTTTAATTAAATCTGTATAAGTTTCCAAGAATAATTCACTAACAGGTATTTCAGGCCTCATTACCTTTGCTACGGCGTCCAGAGGGCATGTGTTGTCAAAACCCAGACAAACCCTTAAATTTGGAGAATGTGCTACTAAACTTGCCCATGCAGTTGAACTGATTCGATCAACATATTTCTGGTCTCTTCTGCAGAAAATAATCAACCTTTCCAACTTTTTGCGATCAGCTGGTGAAATGAGGGCAGACACGACGTCATCATCAATGCTGTATCCATGGAGACCGAGATGAGTCAGCTGGTGACATCTGGAGGCGACAATTTTCATGTGATCTGGTGTGATAGTTTCTACCAGAACGCAGTTATGAATATACAATTTTTGAAGTGTGTTGCTATGATTTTTTGACAGAGCAGTAAGCAGTTCTCCATCAATGTTGATGTTCAGTTTGCTCAAATCAACTTCGCGTAAGTGGCTTTGCATTTTTTCAACATTTTTTGGCAATGAAAAATAATTAAGCAAAGCTCTATTGAACTCATTTCCTGAATATAGTAGTGGGTTATTGCCAAGAAACCGTATTCTAAGCACCCTGATTTGTCGTTTGCCCTGCTGAGCAAAATAATTAATTACATTTACAGCCGACTCCCTACAAGCTGCCACTTTAGGTTGGACGTCAATATGAAGATTACGAATAAGTCTTCCAACAACTTCCAAGCCTTTCAATTGATTTTCTAACTTGTCTTCATCTAAAAAACTGAAACGAAAGTTCTTCCACAAATCTGTTGAGTTGTTGAATACGTAGCACCAGTTCTTGCTAACAAGGGATGCCCTGAACCTGTCTCCCTGACTCAGATTTGTAAAAATTATTTCCAATACATCGAGTGGTATATCGTTCCAGTTTAATTCAGAGTTCGTCATTTTCAATGAAAGTAAAATTTAAAATTCAGATTAACCATGCCATAACGTACAAGCTACACGTGAACTGTCAATCAATTAACTAGTTAATACTTAATATATTAGTCATACACAATAACATAATATGACCAACTATGGATATGTACTGGCATTAATAAGTGGAAAACCCACGCTTCTAAAAATAGAAATGCTACTCACGAAACAGGAGCAGCCAGTAACTTTACATGGCTTACTTCAGAGTCAGGTTGTGGCAACATTTTTTACAATAAATAAATTATTGTTTGTGGAAACTAAAGGGTGAGACCAGACTTTAAAATTGTGCGAGGCAAGTATAGGTATTCTAAGTATAAGCATGCAACGCTTTACTTTCTGTTAGATTAACTTTTCAACAATACTAAAACTGAATTTAAGTTTTAACAACAAAACGAAAAAAGTCTCAGCCTTGATCAAACGAAATGTCGAATGTTTGTACTAAATTTCGTAGTGTATTTGTCCATTCAGCTAACCTGCCCAATGTTTTTCCAATGCATATGGCCAGAGGTTTGATGCTAAAAATATTAATATCGTAATAATAACGCAAACAATGGTACTTGCTTGCACATGCATGAGTTTTTTATGTCATAAACTTTATTTTTATTATGACTTTATTTTATAATATGTTTAATTACTTTAATTAATAATTTTAATAAATATTGACATGTTTTTTTGATCTTAATAACAATTTTTTTTGTACTATTTATTTTTTTTATTTTATATCAGTAATTATTTTTTTAAAAATTAGGAATGGTAAAAATGCAGAGAAAATTGAAAGAGGTTGACTGCATCATCGAGGTCCACGATGCAAGGATATCCTTATAATTTCATTTTTAATGTTAAATCATTTTATCACTTCTATCTATCATGATATCAAAACTTGGGTTCTAGAGCTTTATGAATAAATAAATTAAACAAATGAGAAGTTAATAAACATTAATAGGTTTTCTTCACTAAAGCATTTGAGATACAATTGACATTCAATTTAGTTAGGAGAAACAAGATGTTTTCATTAAAATTATTTCAAGTTTTAATCAAAAAATAATATTCATCATCATTTATTTTACTGACATATCATTTCAAAATTATTTCCACTCTATGTATGTATATCCACAATTATTTAACTTAACTTAAAACATACATTCCATTATCTGGCCGGAATCAGAAGTTTTCAGAAACATTAATGGTAAGACCACACATACTGCTTTTAAACAAGGTTGATCTGATCAATAAGGAAGACATCCCACTGTTTGAAAGAGTTTTGAAGTTAGAGAATCCTAATCTACAGGCTGTTTTACACTCGTGTTGTAAGAATGACTTAGATAGTACAATAAAAACTGAGGTGAATAATAATTAGTTAGTGCATAAAATTATTTTTTGAATTATTTAATTTAAAATAAAAATTATTTTTCTTAGCTGTTACCATGCATTACAAATATAATGAAAACAAGCAACCGATATCATAGAAATGAAGTCAGTTGACTTTTCTGTTAGCTTTTTTTTTTTGATTATTATGATAAAACATTATTAAACAGTTTATATAGAGTGGATTCAATTTTAATATTGAAAGTTTTATAGCATCTTATTCTTAAAAATATTTGACAAAAATGTTGACAATGTAAATTTTACAGACACAAGACTACAATGTATTGGTCATCGGCATTCCAAATGTTGGGAAATCATCTCTAATTAACTCACTGAGGAACGTTCATTTGAAAAAAGGCATTGTTGTTTTTCCATTTGACCATTTCTCCTCAACCTAACCATGCCCTACTTTATTTTTTTCATCATTATTGAAGGTGGCAAGGCGGCATCAGTTGGAGCGAAACCAGGCATTACAAGAACCGTCATGGAGAAGATAAAGGTACTAGGCAAGGAAATCTCATATCACAAAAGCATCCAGCCACCTACCACCAAATGAGATATACTTTCATTCATCCTTAATATCATTTTTAATATTCTCATAGGTATCTAATAGTCCAAAGATATATATATACGACACTCCTGGCATTATGTCACCATCTGTCACTGATATGGATGTAGCTATGAAGCTGGCCCTCTGTGGTTCGTTTCTTTCAAATTTCTTTGAAAGGATCTTTTGCTGTAGCATGTTTAAATTACAACAAAGTATAATACATGAATATTTAAAAGTATTTTAATGGAAAAAAAGCGTAAGTTTTTATTTTATTCCATCTGTAAATCTATTTTCCATTTAATAACTTCACAGCCACAATCCCAGATAAACAGTTTGATATAGTGAACATGGCAGACTACTTGCTCTTCACGTTAAACTTGCAGGAAATGTTTGGGTACGTATGTATCCCTTTCTTACATCTGTAACGTTACAAAATCGAACTTTACAATTTTTTATTCCAATTAATAACAACGAAACGATATATCAGTAGAATGCGTAATTACTTATCACAACTCTTATAATTTTAACTAAAATTAGATTCAGTTCATAAAGAACACGTTAACCTTGATAAAACTATTAAAATTGATACATTACTCGTATTAACAACACTTAACTATCCCACCGCAGATACGTAAGCCTGTACGACATCAATGAACCAGCCGACGATATTTACATACTTCTCACTCTACTTTGCAAGAAGTTCAACCTAGTGATGAAAATAAATGACCAAGGCGAATACGTCTACAGGCCAAATTATGAGAGGGCATCGCAGATATTCATCAAAGATTTCAGAGATTGTAAGTTAGGTAAAGTGAATTTGGACATGAATCTGCTGAGAGATAAACAACATCGCTTATCTGATTCATTACATAATTCGTAGCTAATATTTCATTTGATTTTTGTTGATTTATTTTTTTTTATTTAAAAACAGATAAAAACAAATAAAAGCAATTTTGTTATAATCAAGTCATTTGCAGCCATAAAAATAATTTTAAATATCAAAAAAGTTCATAAAAGAACAAACAACTGACATAACATGTCGTGGTTAACTTGCGACCATCAATTAGAGGAAACGGAGATAACACAGTAAGAAATGACATGTTAAGTTAAAAAATGACAGGTTAATTCCAAAATGTTAGACGAAGAAGAACAATTTATTTTGATTTCAATTAAAACGTTACAATTACAATCTTAACTTGCATCAGATTGGTAAACGAAACGATCCGAATTATAAATCACGCTGAGTACATTGTCTATATTTAAACCATTTTGCAACTTTTAGAAAAATTGACTGCATTTATAAGGCACATGAACTTTTCAAATGTTATATCATGTAAGGGTTACCATATGTAAAGTTCACATTACGTAAGGTTACAAAAGGTGAAAGTTACATTTTGTAAAGATTTGTTGCCTGAACAGAATTACGACAATTTTTAAATTTGTATTTGCCTAATGAGAATGAGAGCACCTTAAAGATGAACAAAATAAATAACATGAATTATCTCTGAACATACAAGCGAGAACTTAATGTAAATTATAAGTCAATTTACTTTCAAGTATATGTTGAAGTTAATTAGGACAGACAAAAGAGCATGCCATAAAGAGCACGTACATTAGATGATAATCAGATCATTTGATGATTACGTTTTCAATTAAAATAATTTGTTTCTATAAAACAGGATAAAAATATTTCATTAAAATATGTTGATAAATTAATAAAACAAAAATAAATGAGGAACACTTGCAACATGCCTTACTCGCACGCACGCACGCACGCACGCGTCACATACAAAATATATAAATGTGAATTATGGAAACTTGGTGGCAATGAAGTAACTCGCAGCACTAATATTTCATTTCACTCCAGCTAGACAGAGCTGCAGCACAGTACAACACAGCTGGCCACCAGAGGCACTACATGGCTTCGAACATATCAACGCGTTGCTTGGTGTTACCCTGTCTGATCTGCTTCAGCGTCTTGTACTTGTCTCGACCCTGCGACTGATTCTGTTCATGGAGGATGTCAATTTGGGTGGTCGTCATTTTTGCAGCTGCCAACTCTCCCTTCAGCTGCTTCAACTGCGAGCTCAGTGGCTGATTTTTCTCAGTTTCAGTGATTCTGCTCTCTTCTGGACGAGGTACATTCTGGCCTTCAAACACTTCCAGGTCACGATTTCCAAATCTGGATTTGATTCCTCTGTCAGAATCATCGTCGTCATCATGTTCAGATACGTGAAGCACTTTAGGAGTATTGATAGCTTCGTGCAGGGCTCTTTGTTTCTCTTCCATCTCCTCCTGAGTTCGTCTCAGTTCCTCTTGCAACCTTCGAGCTTCTTCTTCTTTTTCCTTTGCCTCCCTCATCCTCTCCTCCATTTCCGCCTGAGCACGTGCAGCTTCTTGTTCTTTTTTTTCTCGTTCCTCTTTCTCGAGATGAGCAGCCGCCTCAGCAGCTCTCCTGGCTTCTTCTGCTCTCAACCTAGCTGCCTCAAGTTCCTTCCTTTCCTCTTCTGCTTGCCTCATTCGATCTTCTAATTCATTTGCCATTTCTTGCGACTTTTCCAACTCTGTGTTGGTTGATACAAATGTGGTTGAAAATTAATAATAAATTGAATTATTAGACGAAAGCTAAAAACTTAGTGCTAATACAGAACTCAAATATGTGATAAATGTACCTCTTTTTGCTTTTTCGAACTCGGATTCAAATGCTTGAAGTCTCAACTCGAGATCATGCTTCTGCTTCTCTGCATACTCCTTTCCCTTCCTTTCTTTCTCCAAGAGAGCTCTGCAAATATTTACAATATCAAAATAATGCGGAAATCAGCTCACCACAACAATAGAAAATAGAAAATGTTTGGCTATGTATTCCCTTGTTAGCAAACGTGGGCAGATGAACAAACATAGACAAACAAAAATAGAAAACAGAAAAACAAACCTCTCTTGTTTCTTGGCCTCTTTTTCTTCCATAGCTTGGTTCTTCATCTGTTGCACTTCAATGGAGTCGGGCTTCCTCCTACGCATGTACAGCTCATGATTGCCCATGCATAGCGCCAGGATTCTTTTGTTGATTCTCAAACGCTCAGCAAAGAAGATAAAATCCTGTGACCATGTTAAAATTGAGATAGTTTCAAACTTTACAATGTTTTGCATTTTCTGAAACGCAACAAGCCACCGACGACAACAACCAATACAATCAAACCACAACAAAGTTAACACAACAAAACATACGGGAGCCTTCTTATCAATGGGTTTTATAATAAACTTCTTATCACTGAATGAAATATTTCTTATCTCACTCCAAGGAAATCCAATTTTTGGCGTCAACCTGTAGATAAGTTTCATTTTTAATTAATATTCTATGATAGGATTGACAGATTACGTAGACATACTAAGAAAATCTAGCATACATTGTGATGTGAGGTGTCGTTATGTTGTTGCATGTTAGTGTGTGTGTGTGTGTGTGTGTGTGTGTGTGTGTGTGTGTGTGTGTGTGTGTGTGTGTGTTGTACTGTAATATTTGTTCATTTCATATGTGTGTGTGTGTTGTGTTGTGAGTGAGCTGTACAGTGCGTGTTGTTTTAAAGGCGTGATGATGAGTTTAAAATATTTTCAACATCAAGAAAAAAAAGTATTTATGATTGATTTTATTCTGAAGCATTTAATTTTTAATATATGTATAAAAGTTTTTGCCTAATTTTACGAGCCATAAAATCAGTCTAAAAATATGCCAAGTTAAGTTATTTTAAAGGCACTCATAAATGTCATTTAAAGACATTTTTCAAAATTTTTTAAAAATATTTCATTTGCATAAATTACGCGTCATTTACACTGTCAAACACAAACACATTCTCTCCCTCTCTCTCTCTCTCCTCTCTCTCTTTCATAAACACACACACACGCACACATTCGCTTACAAAACAGACAGAGTAGTACATCACTGATTACTAACTTATCTTCTTTTTCGTAGATATTGAGCCCCAGTGCGTCGACACCCAGCCATAGATTAGTGCCCTTCTTATTTTTGATGTCGAAGTAGTTGACGCCGTACATCTCGAGGTCTTGAGCTATCTTCAAGTATTCAACCATTGCATCATCCCTGTGTAGTAAGTAGTAAGTGATAAACATTACGATTCATCCAATCTAAAGGATAGGTGCATGTAGAGTTTTTCATGATTGCACATCTGTAATACAGGAGGAGAAAGCTTATATGATAAATGGTTCTAACTAACTGGCTCCAATGTCTCTAACCTAACTTATCTTAAATTATTCATTCATTAGTAATCGTCATCTCATTATAAAAACATCAGACAAGAATTTAAGAAGCAAAGAAGGAGAAGAAAGAAAAACAACAACAATAGGACGTCACCATTAATAACATCATCATCATCATCATCATCATCACCGTCATCATGATGAACCTCATAGTGCCAACATGCTCGGAGTACCAGCCGACAACCTTTTCAATCCACTGTGGTTTCGTCAGACTGTGCTGGTCGAATACTCTGACGAAGGTGATGGCGATGATGACGAAGATGATGATGATGACGATGGTGATGATGATGAAAATAATAATGGTGGTGATAGAGATGATGATAATGCAGATGAGGGTGATAAAGATTATAGTAATAATGAAGACATTAGTAATAACGAGGAAGATGATAAAACCTTATTCTTAACCTCCAACATTCAAAATAATTACTCACAAACACACACACACACAGAGAGACACGAGCACAGACGGACAAACGAACACCCACAGAGATACAAACACACAAACACGCACAAACCACCCACAGACCCACCTCTGAGGAAGCAGCCTATCATTCGCCAGAAAATCCGGATCCTTCTTATGCTCCTGGGTGCAATCTCCATATTTGGCCTGGACTGCAAACGAGGCCAGGAGCACAGCCGTTTCCGGGGGACAGTAGATTTCATCGTTCAGGATAGCCTCCTTCACCTGCAAGAAGAACATCCTCTGAGTTACTTCCTGGATCAACTCCTCCGATACGTCCTCCGGATAGAACTGGTGGGGGTGGTGGTGGTGGTGGTGGTGGTGAAGAGGGGGAGGAAAAATGACGTCATCAACGATGATTCGTGTGTCAGTTTATTGATCATTGTATTAACTCAAAAACTTCATTTCTGTATAACATTGAATAAAAAAGTCATACATAGAGAGAGCCAGCCTTATGAAATCAAAACCAAAATACACTCCCAAATCTTTTACATATGCATGAATTAATTACTGTTCAATTAGTCAGAGGAACAGATGGACGAAGAGACAAGAAGACAAACAAACCAACAAACAAAAACATTCAGACAGACAAACAGTCAGACGGAGAGAAGCATACTTTGGCTCTGAATTTAAACTGAAGAGGAGTCTCCTTCTTAACGTCCTGACTTAAAACTTTTTTGTTCAACTTCATCCAGGCTGTATAACCTAAAACCAACAAAATCAACTTCATCATTATCGCCATTATTTTTATAGAAAATAATTATTATATAATAATTATAATCATAATTATTGAATAATTATTTGTACGTTAGTATACCTTTGGTATCGGTGAACTGCAGACCAAAAAACCAAATCTCTCTCAGACCTATGGTCTTTACTACCTGGTCAAACAGTTGCTTACCTGTTTCGATGAATTAATTAATTAATCAATCAATAATTAATTAATTAACTAATTATGCTGATGATATGATAAGTTATAAAAATGATCTCCGTTTACTGACCAGTGGTACTTGGTTGGACTGCAAACTCCAGGTCTGCATCCATTGTCAGCACTCTCATGTTGACCTATTAAATATTCATTCATTCATTCATTATTTCATTCATTCACTCATTCATTAATTCATTCGTTCATTTATTTATGCATTCATTCACTCATTCATCACCACCGTCGTGTTACAACCATTTTTATCATTATGTTAGCCACAACAAAACTGCCAAACACTACAGCATGTTAACGATTTCAAATCAATGAAACATTTTAAAACAACTTAGCAAACTGAATTATTATCAACTTAGTCAGGCAAACACACACTCACAAACACACACACACGCACACACACAAAGAGAGAGAAAGAGAAAGAGAGGGAGAGAGAGATTTGTTAACAGTAACCTAACACATAAATGATTATACAATGTATAAATTAAAAAAATAAATATAGATTTGCGATTTATTTGCCTTTAATTTATGTTATATAATTGTAATAACATGCTTCTAAGATCAAATATTAAATTAAAATTAACATAAAAATATCATGTAAACTTAACAGCCACAAATTTTTATGTTACACACACACGCACGCACACACACGCACACACGCATATATATTACAAGTTTACATAGCAGTACATTATGTTATACTACAGTAACAGTATAACAGAGCAAATTGATCAAATTACATACATACATTTATTTGGATGTTCATAAACAAAGAAAATTGTGATAAGAGAGAAAGTCATAAGGTCTATATTGTGCATGTGTGCGCGTGTGTTTGTGTGTTTGTTTGTGTATGTGTGTATGCGTTTGTATGTATGTATGTGTGATTGATTGTGTGCGTGCGTGCGTTTGCATTTATGTGTGTGTATCATTCATGTTTATATCAGCTCAATTCAATCAATTAATCATTCAATCAGCAAATCAATCCATCAATCAATCAATCAACCAATCAATCACAAAAATTTAAAAAAAATATTTTAAATAATCCTAAAATACGGAACGATAACGTCATGCCCCAGCAAAAACACAGGCAAAAATATGTTGATAAATTTATCATGCCTGTGCTCGAAGGCTATGGTTGAAATTTAATGAATTTTAATGTAAATTAGCTTAGGTATGTATGTGTGTTCGTTTGTATGTTTGTTCGTTTTTATTTATGTTTTTATGTAGTTATATATAGTTATAAACTATTTTCTAATGAATAAAAAAATCGCTATAAACTATTTTTTATTAGCAAACGTTTGCATGTATGCATGTATGTATGTATATGTGTGTATGCGTGTATGTGTGTATGTGTGCATGTGTGTGTGTGTGTATGTATGTACGTACGTGTATGCATGTACATATATATAACACCATGTAATAATGACAAGAGTACATAAAACAAAGCCAGTGCTAATGATAAGGTAAACAATGTGAAATTTTGAATTGAATCCAACAAATACGATTGGCTGATAAAAATAGCGGGTGATTAATGCAATCCCACAACAAATATGATTGGCTGATGAAAATAGCGGGTGATTAATACAATCCCACATGTATATTTTAATACTAAGTACGTGTGTGTGTGCGCCTGCATGTATGCGTGTATATGTTTATGTATGTAGCAATAACAATAATAATAATAAAAAAGATGGCAAAACAAAATACTACATCAATATCATTCTAGGAATCTCCAACATGTCACCTATTAATAGCAACGATAACAATTATTATTATTATTTTCACCTCGAAAACAAAAGTAATGTTTGTTATAACATTAATAATAAACATAATTATATAAAAATAATAAAATTATGAAATAAAATGAAAGAAAAAAGAAGAAGCAAAGATGGACAGACAGATGTGTAATGTAAAACTTGGATGCACATCTATCATATGACTTGTTGTTGGATGTATATAAGTATAAGTAATTTATGTACCTGTGTATGTGTGTTTGAGTATGAAACGTTTTGGTTTGTGCGTGTATGTCTGCGTGTGTGTGTGTGCGTGTGTGTGGCTATATAAATGTTTCCTTAGACTATAGCAGCTTAATCTTATCAGTTAATTCGAGGTGAGTATAATTAGCAGTAAATTCAATCATATGAATGAATAAATGACTGAATGGAAGGATGAATGGAGGATAAATTAACTCTACTCCCAAAAATTTAAGGCCTTTATTTAAGATAAACTGATGTGAAAACTGATGTGATGTTTAATGAAATAATGTGTGCAAGTCTTGCGTGTCACGTCCATGCGTGCGTGCGTGCGTGTGCGCGCATGAGTGAGTGCACATGTATTTCCTATCTGCTTTAATTTAAGAAATTTTTGGTTGTTGAAATTTTTAAATTAAAATTTACCAAACTTATTATATCACTATAACCTTAATTACTTATCTCATCTTACTCACTCAATCAATCGTTCTCTCACTCGTTCCCACACTCACTCACACGTTTACTCACTCACTCACTCGCTTACTCACACACACTCCCCTAACCACATAAGTTCATTCACCAGCATGTCACAACACAAACAAAACATACATCCCTACATGCAAATACTTTACTAGTTGAATTTAATTCTACCAAATAATGAAAGGCAAACAGTTCCCATGGTAACTAAGTTCTGTGCGTGTGCGCGCTGATGTGTGTGTATGCTGGTGTGTATATGTGTAATGTAGTGTATGTTTGTGTGTGCGTGCGGCATAGATGTGTGTGTGATCTGTAGTCAAGTGGTTGGTTTCAATTTTTCAGATTTTTGGTTATGCTGGTAGACAAGTGTGTAAATATAGACAAATTAAGAAACATAAAATATGTTTGCTTATGTGCGGTTCTGTGTTTGTTTCTTTGTGTGTGTGTGTTTGTTTTTTTGTGTGTGTGTTTGTGTATATATATATTTTATAATTTTGATTGACATACAGCAGAGTTAGCATAAAACAGATCCTCTTCTATCAACATGAATATATCTACAATGTAGTCATCAACATTTTATTTATAAATTTATCAGTAAAAAGTTTATTATTATTATTATTATTTATTATTATTATTACTATTATTATTATTATAAAAATTTCAATGTCGTTTATATAATTTTTAATTTTAAAGTTTTTTTTACATCTGCCAATGAAAAATGGTTGAATGTACTGTACAAGAAATGTGATGTGCCTTACCTATGTATGTACATTTAATGGAAGAATTAACTGAAAAGGAAGAAAATGTTTTATCCAGTGTTTGACACACACACACACACACACACACACACACACACACACACACACACACACACACACACACACATACACACACACACACAAAGGCAATTTGAATTAATTAGACAGGTATAAATCAATTGAAAGAAACATCCTATTTAGGTAATCCTAATAAAAATAATAATAATAAAAGTAATAATAAAAGTAATAATAATAATAATGATGATAATAATAATAGTAATGATAATAATAATAATTGTTACATCAATTAATGAAACAAAGAAAGTCAACTGTAATAATAATTACTATGTTACATGATATTAACTGCATAACTCTCTCTTTCTCTCTCCCCTAAATTATAAGATTATAAGTATAAAATTAAAGACAAGGTTTAAATAATGTTAAACACAAAAAAATTTTAAAAATTAAGTATATATGAGAACAAACATTGACAGAAATAAAACTATTAAAGTATGTAATACAATAACGCAATATTAACAAAACACTAGCAAACATTATCACAAATAAAAAAATAAATAAACAAATTATTAAATAATAACTTTTTGTTAGAAAAAATGGAAGAAAACAAAAACAAAAAGATATAACCAATGAAAGTATTACACAACACAGATAAATTCAAAAACTGTTAACTACTAATAAATATAAATATCCGTTACAATACAACTACACGTGTTTTATAAGTAACATTCAATGTTACAACAATATTCACAGTATAACAACATGTTAAATAACATACAACCTTTATAAATAATACACTATTATGTATATACATATACGTCTATATCTGTTTTTCAAGGGCTTTATATATAAGCCCGATTTTAACACATGATGTAATATAGGTTACAATGTTACATTACATTATAAATGTAAAATATTTTATTATATTTACACTGTCATCCTTACGAAACCAGTTTAAAATTTGTGAGCCAATAGTTTCTTGATGGCCTTCGTGTACCTCCTATTACAATTGCATTCACATTTTATATTTTGTTAAATTGGATTATGAAATAAATACTTTTAGTATTTCGTTATACAATGTTATAATTATCATGTAATTCATTAATAATGTCGGGTTATTAATGTCATACAACTAATATTAATTAAATAATGCAATCAAGGATATGTGAATATTCAGCCAATTGCCAGTTTGAGAGCAAATTCTTTTCATTTTACTTAAATGACTTTTAAAAATTATTGAACAGATAGTGATTTAAAGATAAATACACAAAAAATAAATTGTTTTAATAATGAAAAATTAATTTGAATAAGTTTCTTAAAACAGTAAATAATGTATTAATATTTATTTAACAGAATCTTTAATTTTAAAAATCATTTTTTTTTTGCATCAACAAGCAAGAAGAAAAAAGTAAACCGTTTTTGGCATGGTTGTTTGTTCAGTTGAATTCTTTCAATCAGAGTACCACTAATCTAGAAAGTTTTTTAAAAATATATAACCGGACATGGAATTGCCCAGGCAATTTAAAAATATTTTAATTCAATATAAAATTATTATGATATAAATAAAATTAACTTTTAGTTCTAAAAAATGATCATTCAACAATCAACAACTTTAAACAAGTAAAATGATCTGCTAACAAAGCGCAAATTGATTTTTTAAAAGGAGATAAATATGATTAGTGAATTAGTGAAATAAAATTTAATATTAGATGATAAAATGTGACGTTTGATTTAATTTTTAAGAGAAAATTCATCCTACGTACCTCATCTGTCACGCCCAGATTATTATCAATCAGGTCGTCAAACTTACTCTTTTTAATCTTTTACTCTGTGAGTCCTACTATTGTATATTTCCTATTATTTTTTAGACTTTAATCAATTTTAAACTTAAATCAAAATAAATAAGTAATATAGTATATTTTACTTTATTCGTGCAAGTAACTAATTTATATAAATATTTAGACATTTAGTTATGACGTTAATTGGCTTATTTTTAGCAATGAATGAACGTGATGTCATTAAATAGATAAGTATGATTGACAATATCTACGTGTAACATATATATATATATATATATATATATATATATATATATATATATATATATATATATATAATATACGTACATGTATTCATATATACATACTTATAAATATACAGCGATACTGTTTCTACACATACATTGGCATGATACATGCGATATATATATCATGATGTGAATGTTCACGTATGTCGTTGGCAGATGTGTAAGGCATTTGAAAGAAATTGCGCGGGAGTTTCTTAGTAAACTAAGGTTGGATTCGTTGGATTACTCATCTGAGCCAGAAAATTTGCATATTTTTGACTTAATTTTAACCAGCCAATCAATATATTGATTAGAATTTTTAGGATGTTATTGTCTTAATGACAAGTAACTTTTTTTTAGAATAAATCTAATGAATAAATTTATCTTGAACGCCGTCTTAAACATAGTAGATGACAGAACACATACACCAAGAAAGCAAAACAGCCAAATTAACGTTGACGAAGTAGATAAATGTTTGATCAAGTTTTGTATAAATCTATGACACTTGCCTGGAGAGTTGAGAGTTCATCCATTGCTTGTAAGTTGACATTTTTAAAATTTATTTCTAACAGCTTATGTAAAACTCAAATTCCGATATTTATTTATATACGAAATTCGTTTGTGATAGCTATCTACTAAACGATAAATAAACGTTATCAATTTAAAATTAATTAACGACATTTTGGTTTTATAAAAAAAAGGTGAATTTAGAAGGAAATAGACAAAATGAGCGCGAAAATAAAAGAAATGACGGATGATTGTAGGTGAGTTGATGTTCCTCTTCGGCACCTTTTGCTACCTCGTCTTCGACATCTACGAACTGATTTGGCTCCATCGTTTGCTGGTTGGTTGGTTGGTTTATTGGTTGGTTGATTGAGGCGGCTGATGATTGGCTGGTTGGTTGGTTAATTGGTTGGTTGTTCGAATGTTTGTTTCATTGGTCTTTGGATGAATTAGTTAATTAAATAAGCGCATTTGTAATAACTTTTCCAAAAAAAATGTACTTTGGTAAATGGCGACTGCATGCGGTGCATCAAAGATGAATCCTTTCGCCGGTTCAAAAATTCCAAACTTCTTTGAAATTCGCCGTATTTGACTGCATGTTTTTAAAATAAAATTTAAAAATTTACCCGGAATATTTGAAGTAAAATAGTTTCATTTTCTCTGGTCTATCACATCACACTAAATCATTAACTGGGACGCACACATCCTATTAACAAACTTTTCCCCCATGATAAACAAGAATCTCTTTGAATTCCAACCCAATTCTAACTGCAATACAAAACCAACTTCTTTTACCAACCGCTAAACCACCTTGTCACCGAAATTTGCTAAAAATATTTCAATCAGAGTAAGCTAACTCATCATATTCGCATGTGAAGTAAACGTGGGAGAAGCCGAGAGCTATGCTGGTGAATACGCTGTCGAATCTGTAGAAAAGCGGTTCGTACGTCATGCTGTCTGACATCGTCTTGACGTAGAAATCACCGTCTATCCCATACAGTATGAAATCTGTGGTATATGTTGGTGGGAATTCATTCCATTGGTGAAGCGATTAGATGGCAAGTGATTAAGATGGTGATGAAGTTAGTGGTAAAGATTGCGATGGAGAAGGCGGTGAAGATGGCGAGGGAAATAGTGGTGACGATAGTCGCGAAACTTTCTTTTAGATAATGGTGGTAGTGATGTTAAATACATGAAATACAGCATAAGCAAACATTAATAGTAGCAGCATTTGTGTGAAATCGTTGATAAACTTTACTAAACTATTGATTTTTAACAAACTTTTTGGATCTATTTCAAATTTGTCTAAGCAGGCGGCTTGTGGGAAAGATTCTGGCTGATATTTTCTCGCAAGCATATCATAATGACGAATTTTGGAGCCGTTCGTTGAACATTCCATTAACGTTAACAATCTAGATAAGTTAATGATGGTGTATTTGTATATATATATATATATATATATATATATATATATAATTGTCAATTAATCTATTTGTCCAGTTATTCTGTCCATAGGTTCACGAAACATTTATTTGGTATCAATTCAGCAATCAAACTCTACATAAGTTTATCAATCAATCAAAAGTTGATCGACCAAACGATAAATTTATCATCGAAAAATACAACTACACCACACGACACTCACCACAACAAACACACAGCCAGCCAGCCAACCAACTAACAATCTATCCTTGTCCAAATTCATGGCCGATACAATAGTCCCAGTCCTTTCGTTTTCAATCACTTCGGTTTTGGTTTCATCCTGCATGTTGTACGCTAAAACCTGGCCCTCACTGGATGAGATGAACATGATGCTTTTTTCGCTGTACATTTCAAGGTCCTGAATGTAACCTTTTACTAGGAATTTAGAAATTTTTTTACTAGGTTTTTTACAATTATTTATTTTAGTTATAATAAATACTAATATTATTGTTGCTACTACAATTACTTCTCATTAGAATTACTCACTCACCGCGCTGTTACTACTGCTATTTTAGTACAGCTTCTAATTCATGTAATGCAGATAATATTACCAGGAACGATGGTACTGCCACACATTCACACTCACATTCACACACACACAACTTACTTTTGTCGTACTGAAATGTCTTTTGGCTGGTGAGATTAAAGAGGTCAAGCCAACTGAACTTGTTTGGCTTGCCATCTTCAGGATCGTTTGCCCAGTAGAGAAACCTTGGGATTTTCGAATTTATTGAGGTCATGCTTGTTGTTTAATAAGGTCGCAATTGGTTTAATTTAAATAATTTATTTGACGTGTTTTATTCATTTTCATCATATTTGATTTTAACTTTGTTTGATATTAACATAATGCAAACCATAAAGTAATACAAATTATAAATTGTTTAAATACAAAACTCACACAAACATACAATCCCATTCAAGTATACAAACGCCTAGAAACCAACACAGCCTACATACAACAACGTAGATTATACAAAACACACGTAAAAAAACCAACTTTGTGGATGGTTCTATCTTCAGCACAAACACGTCAGCGTCTTTGGCTGTGGTTTTTAAAGTAACTTTCACGTCCATCGCTAAGCTGAGCATAAAAAACATTCCGACCCTGCTATCAGATACTACCAGGAAATTGTCAGGACTTATATCTGGATATTATTTCACGACATCTTTATAAAGTTACAGACATTATAATAAATGTACATACATATACTTTATATACATACATACATGTATATTTTTGAAATTATGTGTTCAATTGAAAATAAATTTTTCGGTAATAAGTGGAATTAATATTTGTCAGTGCCAAAAAACATATCGAGCCATCGTCTGTAAGTTAACAAACAACTCAAATAGGTGAAATAATGGAAATGAGAAATAGCGGGGTTGGTAACAAATTCTTTTTAATCCTTAACAACTCTACTAACTTCCAAAAAGTGTTTGATTTTTCCTCCTAAAATTGATACAACGCCACTTCTAAAACACTAAAATGTGCTTTTTTTTAAATTTTATTAGTGTACAAATACCTACACATGACACACCTAAGCAGCTCAAACTCTACAACTCCATACCAGCCATCAGTACCTATAATACCAGTACCAACAACAATGAAATACATACTATCTGAGCTGACGCCAGTCTTATCTTTTCTAGCCGTGGGTGGCTGGTCTCCATCATCTTCAACAGCAGCACCACTTCTACCAAATGATGTGCAAAGAATGGTGATGAGGATGATGATGCATCGGATATAGGATAAACGTTTGGATGGATGGATGGGTCCGAAACATAATTTCGGAGTTTTATTCATTTATTTAATCGTTAACTGAAGCATAGCTGGAGCAGAGTGTAACTGGAGAGTTGTTGGTCCTGGCTAGGGCTGTTTAGTGCTTGTAAGGCATCAATTTTTTTTTCGATTTTTTCATATATTTGCATGTATCTTAATTTTTGTTCTTTATATGATTGATTTAAATCGCTGTTTTATAAATTGTTGTCTTAAATGATGCCTTGAGTTTAGATAAATTTGTTTGTCCTAGACACACAGAAACCAACGATGTTTATTTATGTTTACAATTATCGAAGATCTCTGACATCATGAGAACAGTCCGTTCGGTTCATGTACAATATTTACTAAAGTGACTTCTGAACTTACTAAAAAAACGCTTCTTTGATTATTAAATTATTTTGTCTTTATTTTATTGAGTTATTTTTAAACCAAGTATTCAAAGCAGTTGGTCCTGTTGTTATATCATCGCTTCATTATCGGTGATAACTTATTAATACATTATATACTATAAAATACGCAGTTTGATTAATATTTTGTGAGGTTTTGGGGAGTTTTTAAAGATTTTCAAACAAAACAGGCATATGCTCATATCATT